TTGACTGTATATTGACTTAAAATTATCCAAAATGTTTTCAAAAAAGTACAATTTGACTGTATATTGACTGTCTTGACTGTATATGTTCTTATTATTAGGTATTCAAAACAAAGCTACTTAGTAGATCCCACTAACATACCCAACTTAGCTGATGGTACTCCTTCATTCAAGTCCTACGCTCACTCAAAGAACCATCGCTTCATCAGTCCAGCTGCAAGTAGTAAAAATCGAGTGTTTTCTCCTACTAAAGTTCTTCACTTCTTCAACGCTCCTGCTGATGCAGACAAAACAAGCCTTGAGCAGGTAAATAAACACCTTGACTTACCACAACCAATCACATGCATCCATGACGATTAATCARTGATCTCTCCTTGGTTGTAGATGTGTATTGAAAATGGTGTTAGTCCCCCCATTGCAGTCAAGGTCTTTACACCGGCTGGTAGGTCCCATGTATAGCCGCTACACTGCTTGGCTGCTCTTCATGACCCGCAAAAATACAATCATGCAGCTGAGAAAACCTGCATTGTGATAAATACTCTAACATACAGCCTCGTTACATTACATAACCCCATACCTGCATTATGATAAATACATACAGGCTCGTTACATTACATAACTCAAAAGGAGTTTTAGATTTTTTAAACGTTAATGGCAGTTTAGYTCACTTTCAMGGGATATATTTGTGTTGAAAACAGTTTAAAACCCAAACGCGCAMTTCGAGCTACCTTGTGTCAGCCTAGAGACACCGGTAAAGATGTGTTAGTATGMTTTTGTCAGTCCACTTTAGAGCTTCAAAAGTTTACAAATTGGCACTTTTATCCATGGTATTCAATCCAAACTGTTTCGATTTTTCTCAAAAGTGAGTTATTGAAAAATACTAATATTTGACATATTGTGTTAACAAGTTGAACAAATTCCCTTCCCGTTGATTGGCTGTTTCTTTTTAAGGAATCCGTTCTTTTCCATGCTTCTTTTCGGTCTTACCCGTGATTATGATTGTTGAATTAGTCTACATTACTAGACACATGATCACATCAGTTTCTAGTTAAGCGATAAAATGATTTTCAATCACCGTTGTGGTCCTCATCATTCTTGTGATCTGTCTGTGAATCATTTCTTGGTATGCTTTTTGTTTATAGCGAGGAGCGCCTCTGGACTAATGGAATGGGAAACCGGTCAACAAGCCTTGGAGGCTTTAGTCCTTTGCAACCATTTTGTGGTGAAAAACGACAGTAAGTTATTTGTTTCTCCCACTGTTAGTGCAGTTCATTGGCACGTTTCAATTACAGATATTTGCAGCCGTAAAATTAATTAAAAGTGTTTAAAGTTTACGAACTAAATCCTTAAAAGTTAATTCCGAGTTATTGCATTGGCCACGCTCTACTGCGGACAATTTTTACCAAGCAGAGCGCACACGCCATGTTATAATAAGGAAATGACCTATCTTTTCTTCTTTTATATTAATCATTTTAGGGAAAGCAAACATACATCTGAGTATGAAAACGATTCTGTGAGCCGATTTTGAGATATCTAAGAATTTGTAGTGAAAACCTGTCATAATGGCGTGCATATAAAGACAGCTGAAATATCTTTATCATCTTGAAATCTTGGTTTTCAAACAAATACTTTGGTGCATAGAAATCATTACAGGAAACAATTCTTAATTTTTTCTCTGCTGGAGGGGGAAGGCACCCATTTCCCTGTATCTGCCCTTTTGTAATACATCAGACATGAACTTGGTACAATAATCTTATACAATGTTTATTGTGTTTAAGGTGCGAAGACCATCTACACTGTGAAGTTAGCCTTCTCGTCGACTCCCACTGCTCAGTGAGAATCCTCGGTATTGCTAAAGCAAAGAGTGTACAGACAGATTTGTTAACCTCCATCCAGCACGTACTATGGTAGAAGGGACAAATCGGTTATTTGCAGATCTACAAAAAGATTTTCATACCATCTAAAAAGTATGGAAATCTTTAGAACACTTACAGAGATAATACTGGATTGTAAACAACATTTCCTTAGTCATGAAAAATGTACAGTATTTGTTCGTAGTTTTGGTGTTTTACATTTCCAAGAAGCCTATTAACGAGTTTTATCTTGTATCTGTGACGTATTACCACAGGTAATCCGCATTATATTAAGAGCGCAGTTTATTAAGAGCGCGCGTCGATACATAAAAGTCTGCTCAGCTCGTTTTTTTCTTCTCTAAGAAATATTTGGCAGCCTAGGGTCTTATCAAGTGTTTTGGGATTAAAATCAACACAATAAACACTAGCAGTTTGCATGGTTTATATTTAAGACCGACACTACGTTGTTTAGGGTGTTCAAGGTATTTGGGATATGGTTTGAGTACTTGCAAATTTTTGAAATATTAAAAATGCCCGAAAACAAAAGCATGTGAAACTCATATTTCCTCTTAAAGAAATAGTGGATAGCTATTTTGCATCTGATTACTAATAATACGAGTTACTCGGGCTGCCACGTTTACAACAAATCAAACACACTATTCAGGTCGTAATTTTACTTCACAGCTCTGATAAACAGAGTACTTTTCAAGTCGTTTGAGAAAAGATTTATTTCTGTCAGCCTCGCAACCTAGCTCGATGTCATTAATAGTAAACTAGATCTACACTTAGCAGCTTCGACTACATTCGCACTTTCTTTCACATCTATTCATAGGTATCTATCATTGCAAGCTCACAGGTCGTTTCGCTTTGATGCAAAGTCCGGATGCCTTTCAAAGAGACTTTTTCAASTCTTTACAAACTGCATCAAGAGTCACCTTTTTAGATTCTGACCCTCTGAACATGCCCTCCCTGGAGGGCAGTGATCTGTAGTTTAGACCGTTAGACTCCAAGTCGCACTGCGCGTTCGACTTGCACTCGCATATGATGTTGGATAAAATCACTTTATTATTGTACACACCTCGCAACAAGCTAAAAGAAATTGTTTTCTAATTAATACTAATTTAATATTCATATTGTCAACGTCCCAGCATTAGAARTAATCCGACGTCTTATTGGACATAGCCACTTTACAAATCTCAATATCTTCTTCCAAAACAGAACCATCACTAAAAACAAAACCATTACTGCTATAATAAGCTGGTTTCTTCCCCTCGACTCCTTCTTTTCTTCCAGCCATCTATTCAGATCTTCTTTATATAAAAACCTATTTCTATAATCTTGAGGAAGTTCAAATTGAGAGGGGTTTGGGAAGAGTGACTGGTAGAAGTCAACCAGAAGGGCTCKAACTAGAGTTGCGTTATGAGAATGGTCTATATTATCGTTTAAACATATAAACTTTTTCTTATGTGCTCGTATGTTATCAAGTTGACGCAGTACTAATGAAGCATTATTACTAATCATTTTAAAGGCGATGTCTTCATCTCCAACAGTCTCGTGTTTATACTTCTTTACACTTCCTTTTGATTCATTTAACAGCTTTGTAACTTCATTACATTCACTAAGCAATTCTTCCGTGACAAGGGGTAGTCCATCTTTATTACCACGCGCTAYCGGACTTTCCAATTTTGTTGTAAGCGAGCAGTTGAGCAAGGCTTTTTCCAGTTGCTTGACGTCGGACAATTGTAAAGGTAGTGGATAGATTCTTGTTGCTAACGTCCTAAGTTCACGTCGAGATAAAATACCTACACAAATGAAATACAAATYATCTCACTGTTTTCTCAATTCAAGATTRGYACAATTCCTTCAAGCTTATCACTAGCCAGGCTGGAACCCTTCAGGGTGATTTTGTTTCTATGAAATATATGTTGACGATTGATGGCAATGTCCATAGAAACTTTTGAAAGACATTCAAAGACTTTGATACCATTAAAACTTATCAATATGGCAAAGTTAGTCCTAGAGTTGGTACCTTTTAGAGGTTAATCAAACACCTTTTCGGGGGCGGATTCAGGGGAGGGGAAAGGRAGAATCCCTGACGAATATTTTATGGATGTGATTTTTGCAYATTACTCGAAATCGAACAGCTGAATTTGTTTTCAACTATATTCCAAAACGTTGTGCAATAGTTTGAAGTTAATGATGATGTCTACTGCTTTTCTGGAACTCATCAATTTTTTGAGATATTTGGCAAAAACGAATTTCGACAAAATGCGATTTCCGTTGCCTAGGTAACGTTAATGGAGCTAAATATTATACCAAACAAAACTTTGATYAATGCTTTAATACTGGTTTAAATGTAATTTCATCAATCGCATATTGAAGTAGATCACCTGTCAATATTTATGTCAACACAGGAAGCCCATGTATGCGATGTGTAATCGTCTTGTTAACCGTTGTTTCGTATTACATATTAACGATTCATTAGATTCATAGGTTTGACATACGATGTTCTTACCTGAGTGATCAGTRTCCAGTTCTGCAAATAGTGCAGTTACATTTAAAGTAGTGGTTTGACCAATAACGAAGTAATTGTAGGAAAACGCAAACTGCATGTCRTCTGAGCTTCGTATCTTATGTGATGAGGTTTTGTCAAACTCTTCTGGAAAAGTGCTCTGCAGTTCATTCATTATTTCCACGTCRATCATGTGTGGCATGTGGGCGGGAACCTTTTCATCAATGAAAAATTCAAAGTCTAAACATGACTATTACGATTTATCAAACTTCAATAAGTACATTTTATTTCACAGAATCAGTATGAAATTACTCTATTTGTCAATCACATTACCCACTGTCACGTAATGTACAGACTACGCGCTGGTCACGTGATGTACAGACTATGCACTGGTCACGTGATGTACAGACTATGCGCTGGTCACGTGATGTGCCGACTCCGCGCTGGTCACGTGATGTGCCGACTACGCGCTGGTCACGTGATGCACAGACTATGCGCTAGTCACGTGATGTGCAGACTATGCGCTGGTCACGTGATGTGCAGGTAAGGCGTCCAGGTCACGCTCAAGAGAGATCGTAATAACTTTAGTTATTTTGGTTCAGTGAGCATACACTTAACAATTCTTATTCGCAGGCGTTTTTTCCATTGTCTGTACTCTTATTGACAATGAAATTGACGTCAAAATGCTCAAAACTCAAGTGGAACCACGAGCGTAAGTTTTGAGCATTTTTTAAGTTTTGAGCATTTTTGAGCATTTTTTTTTTTAGCATTTTGGAAGTGAAAACAATGAAACAGTGAAAACTCCTTTTAGTTGCGATGCGACAACCAACAATGCACTTCGCTACTTGGCTACTACAGTGTCACAATATGCATGAYTTCATGTTTTGAAAATACCTTTCGTCCTGTATAGCCAAACTTCTTGTTGTAAATACGATGAACATGAAGAAGGGAGTCAGCAAATGTGTCCAGAAGTCTCCGGCCAGGTTTGCTCAAARTTGYATATTTGTCAGATGTATGCTTTTTTTGCAACTTCTGAAAGAAACGCTGCCTTTCCCACGGTAAAAAGCTTGTTTCAGAATTACGTGATTGTGGATCCCAGTCTCCATACCGCTTCAACCATGACTGGCGACTTTCCTCCATGTCTTTGGGAAAGGTAAGTTGCTTTAGTTTCGTATCAGCAATCCAGTTGGCCACAAACATCTKATATAAACAAGAAGAAAAATATCAACATTTACACAGATTATGAATACAGGATTACGGCACACTGCATACTGCATACTGGCCAAAACAGTGCTACTGAATCATCATCTATCAGTGTAAACGTCTTTTGTTACGAGGGGGAAAAATTCAATAATTCGACGGTATTGCTGCTGTTTGATCGTACAAAAGATCGACATTGAAAAAAAGTGCCGTCGTAGCCTGGGCACGAGTAAAAAGAAAGAAAAAAGAAAGAATTTTTCAGACGTGTTCGACCGGGGATCGAACCTTGGTACAGGCTGCGATCCTTGTTCCCTTGGGATTACTGAACTGCGATGTGGAAAAAATAAAGTCGCTGCATTAAATAATAATAATAAAATGTTAACTCTACAGATATTTGTCATTTCACGGCAAAGCGTTGCAGGTCAGTCAATACTTGAAATGTCATCGCGTGCGCAAGCGAAGATTCAGCAGTACTAACCTGATCTTCTGAAGGAAGTCTTTGCTCATGGTTAGAAATCCTCACATCAACAGGATTGTGCAGCAATGTATTGTCCATGGAGAGAAGATGGCGCTTGTATCGTTTAGATTCATACTCTTTATCTTGATGTTTCTGTGTGTCACCAATCTAGATTATATGGAAAATCATTGCCATGATCGACTTACAGTCTCCCTTGATCACCTTGATCAAGAATAGAAAGAAGAGCTAGAAAATACTAGGTGGGTCTTCACAGAGTGACACAGAACACAGGTGAATAGCACACCATTGACATCATGACATTAGATCTTTACCAATCAAAAAGTCAAATGACAAAAAGGCTTGACATGCAATTTTGCAAAACATAGTTTGACTATAGACTAGGTCCTCAATAGCATGTTGTTTATCGCGTCAAAAACATCTGATAATCAGTAACATCAGTGATACCCTGTATGCTCACATTATTCTCAATTTTAATTTTTTTTATTTATTTTTTTTGAAAGATTTAAATAAAAAACTTGTATGCTATCAGTAATGTGATAGTCATTAAAATTAAAATTAATTAAAATAAATAGTGAAAAAAAAAACAAAACACAAAAACATTGTAAATACACCTGAATTCCGACTCCATCAAAAAATAAGAATTTCTTTCTTAAACCAGTCGGCTTGATTACAACTATGGTCACAATATTGGCTATCAATTTGAATCAAATACCAATTTTCATTCACTGACTTTTGCAGCTGAGATTTTGAACAAGGTATTTGTATAGCTTTGGATCCAGAGGACTTTCAAAAGCAATCATTTGTAATAAGAACAAAATATAAGAAATTGTACCTTTTCCTCATTGGCATGTTTGATAGTAGATAGAAACTCCTTGAATAGCTTTGCCTTTCTTCTATTATAACCCTTCTCAGTAATGTCACCGTCTTTTAATTCTGCATGGAGCCTCTCTAACTCATGATTTATGTGCTGTGGTAGACTAGCTAATGTATCATTGGGTATTTTTGGGATACTATAGATGTCCTGGTCAAGTTCAATCCAGGCTGGCTTAGGAACACTATCATTTATAGCTGTCCAGTAATTCCTGGTATGATTTGAGTACAATCTCTGAATTAACTGAAAGTCTCCGGATTGTTTTACAACTGGTACTGTTGGTGTAGAAGTRCTYAATGCAGGTGAGRCTGGTGAGGCTGGTTTCTCTGTTGCCATTTGTCCTGTTGTCTTTACAGTCACATTGAACTTTAATTCAATAGTTTTAACTTCATTAATGATGCCTTTGACATTAAAGGCTAATGTCGTTGAAGTGTAGTTTTTACGTAGAGTTAATGTAAGTAATTTGTATTTCTGTGCCACTATTGCAGTGCGGATGATCATGTTTTCACTKTGTTCTGCCTCAGTTATCTTTGCTTTGCCAAAAAYGCTTGAAAGATTAAAATAAAAAACTTGTATGCCATCGGGAATGTGATAGTCATGAATCTGTTGATTGATGTCCACTCCATGRAGTTTATCAAACTGTGCAATACCACAATCACCAGCATCAAAACCACAACTGTAAAYGTTACAAGAAGTATCACAGTAGCGATCACCAACCCACGAGTCAGCACAACCTGTCCCACAAAAATCAAGACGGAATCTTGACTGTTGGTTGTGCCAGCTTTGATAGGAGTAACGACTGCCTTGTTTTACACCAACACAATCGCCACCATCATAGTCACACTCTGACACATTACAAGCTTTGTCACAATACTTATCACGGATCCATGACGCTGGGCATCCTTCATTACAATTTGGTACAGACCAGGTTAGGAAAATTTTTTGTCCTTTAGAATGAGTATAAAAGTCATCTGGCCACACATAATCACCAAACATGACATCATCATTCATATAAATGAACTTTTTTGACAGTCCTGGAATTCGATGGAGATGGCTTTCAATAGCTGGTGAGCTGAATGTTGGAAGATGACTCTTATTCACAAAGATATCACTGTGAGCTATGATCTTCAACCTTGGATTATCAAGATTTAACCATGATGGAATCTGCCCATTTGTTACAATATAAACATTGCGAATCCATGGTGAAAACTTTTCTATTGATCTTAATGAATACTTGAGTTCTTGATTGTCAGCAAAACGATTAGCGGAGATAACTTCATCTTCCTCATCATAATCTGGCAGACTGGGTTTCTTTATGAATGACCAGGAATGAGTCCATGTAAGATATGCCTGGGACACTTTCAACATAACTCCTCCTTCCACAGTGTAATTGCCTTGATATTCTTTCAAAGCTACTCTAGTAGATTCCTGATCAGTGAAGTATACTATGGCAGTGTGCTTTTTGGGGTCATATGTAATATCTGAAATCTTCTTCCCAAATGTTTTCTGTAATTCCTTATGTAGTTCAGCTAGGTCTGTATACTTCTGAAACCCAGTGACAATTACCTCATTGTTTGACTCAATGCTATTCTCTAGTGAGTTGTCAGTAGTGAAATATCCTATAAATACATCAAGACTTTTTTGTTGAATTTTGACATTTTCTAACAAAGCATTGTGCATGCTTTCTGTATTTGGAAAGTACATTAATACAGTGTGGTCCTTGTTTGCACCTCTTGATGTACTATTTATGATTCTGGATATAAATTTATAAGAAGGATGCAGGTTTTGTATTTCTTTCAGTTTCAAATCTGTTTCTCTAAAGGAATTGACTACAACAGCAATTCTTGATTTCACGCAGTCAGAATATAAGCACTGTACATCCAGATCAACACGAGCGCTATGTTGTGAGCGTGAACCCTTTTTATAATGTCTACGAGTATCTGTATAGTTTTTGTTTTCTCTTCTTGTCCTAGTTCCATTTCTTTCTATGTCTTTTCTTAGTTGAGAAAGCTGTCGGATAAGTTTCGGATCGCTTCCATTTACCCACGTATAAACGACATCTATTGGTATTGGCAGGCAAAGACGGTCCTGATATGACCTACCGCCGACATTATTGTGGTAAATGCTGAATTTGACTGAGTACCGTTGCATGCTCCATTCTATTAGCACCTCCCCAAACTGTAGCAACGAGATCAACGTCACCAAAAGTCCACCTAAGCACAAAATAATGCCATATTTTGTGGACAAACATGAGTACGTTTGTCTCTGTATCAGCTTGCATAGAAGTCKGACTAGTACCCTATTCATTTGCAAACCACTCGGTTAGTTTTCCAGGTTTTTTTCACACTGATTTCCGCTTATTCACAAGTTTGCGTACACGTCCGCCATGTTATTCTAGTCACGTGCTGGACACTAACCGCTGCTCTGCATGATTGCTGCGTACTCCGACAGGGTTTTCATCGGACTTTATTCTTTCTTTTATTTTTTCACCGAGTCCAGACCAAAGTCCTGCTGCACGGTTATAAAATGCAGCGACTTTATTTTTTTCACGTCGCTGTTTAGCAATCCCAAGGGACCCATAATCCAATGTTCGAAGGTTCAATGTTCGAAGGTTCAACCTCGACTCGATCGAGCTCGTCTGAATAATTATTTCTTTTTTCTTTCTTACTTTAGTTCTTTTTTTAACTGAAATATAGGTGTTCTAGTCATGTTAGATTTTTATCTTAGCAATTTGTTTTATCAATATTTACGAGACCACGTAAATTTGTTAAATTTTAGAAACAAGATGATACTCGAACAGTGGCGTCGATCGCCGGTTCGAATCTCGTCTCGAGCACTTTTTTTTCTTTCTTTCTTTCTTTTTCAAATATAATATATTACACAACTTTTTCAGTAAAATCAGACGTTTTGATTGGTTGGCTTTCATGTGTTATCAAAGTTTATACAACTTTTCAGTAAAATCAGACGTTTTGATTGGTTGGCTTTCGTGTGTTATCAAAGTATAGATACGCGGATTACGTCAAAACTAATTGTCTGTTAATATATTCTTTTGGGCATATAGTTTGAATACGAAAAGGATTACAAGAAGATTTATCATTTTACTACGTATATATTTCGGCCCTTATCCAAAGGCCATCGACTGCAAACTGAACTTACATGAATAGCTATTCAGTTTGCAGTCGATGGCCTTTGGATAAGGGCCGAAATATCCCGGGGGGGGGACTCCCTAATATCAAAGGGCGGGGRTCCTCGVCRGAGATYGTGAAAATGACCCCTAAAAGGGACCTCTATTGTGAGATGATGGGCGTGGCAGTGCTGAAATTTCAACCCTAAAAGGGACCAATCAATAACAGGTCATTTTGTTTTGGTTTACCTATTTTATTTGCGTTTTTACACAATCATCGAACACCGTCGGCTCGAATTGAGTTTATGACGACGTTGCCATTTTATGACTGCTTAGGGTCGCCGTATACCCTAAAAGGGACCACAAAACTCAGTTGGTAGGAATTCTTGTCATGATCACCCTAAGCGGGACCAAAATACTGATTTCAAACCCTAAAAGGGACGCCGAGGACCCCCGCCCTTTGATATTAGGGAGTCCCCCCCCCCGGGCGAAATATACACTACGTAGTAAAATGATAAATCTTCTTGTAATCCTTTTATAATTGTTTGTTGTATAAAGATAGATCTTATTTTTCCGTGTGTGTGTGTGTGTACTCTAATAGATACACGGATTACGTCAAACTAATTGTTTGTTGTATAAAACAGACTGATCTTATTTTTCTGTGGGTGTACTCGACTGCGTCTCGTGCGTACTTTTTTGTTCTCACTACATTTTGACGTCATCTGTGTATCTATTAATAGGGGTGAATAGGGGTCTCCGAATCCGCCGATCCGCTCATCATTTTTCTAAAATCCGCCGTTTCGCGCAAAATTTTGCTTTAATCCGAATCCCAAATCATTATAGCAATAGCCTGCGTGCAGCCGAACCAAAACTTGTTGTTATGTTCGAAAACTTGTTGTTATGTTCGACGAACATAACAACAAGTTTTGGTTCGACTGCATGCAGGCTATATAGCAATCGATAATATGAAAATCATAAATTCCTGCTAATTCAAGACCCGCTGACGCCATATTTGCCATATAAGCTCAGAGAAGACGTTTCCACACAGCGCAGAGCCTCTTAGGGACTTCTTACGTGATTTTTTTAATTCGACAATCGGCAAAATTCGCAGTCACGATTATCGCCATTATAGAATCCGAAATCCGACGTTAAATTTTCATTAAATCCGTGATCCGGTACGTTTTAAGAATCCGGCAATCCGCTCTATTTTTTCTTTAAATCCGTAATCCGCGTGCCATTAGGCCCAGATCCACCGATCCGAAAACCTATTCACCCCCCCATATTTGTTAAATATAATTTCGTTTGATAATTATTTTCGAGCCATTATTCAGTGATTTTACACAGAATATTATACTCGAGAAGCGAACTTTTAGGATAGGGGCCTCCATTCTCGACTCGATCGCCTCTAAACATACATATATTTCAAGGCAAAATTCTATACACTTMCGTAACCTGGACACGGTATGTTCCACGAATTGGTTCCTTGTTTTAGTTATAAATACTACTTACACAGAAATCGGCTTAGATCTTTTATTTTATTTTCAAGGCGTGTGCCCTAGATAAAACTTCGTCAAGGGTTGTTGAATACATAAAAACAAGAGCTGATAGTTTTGTTTGATTTTGACATTATTACTAAATTTACTAATAGTCATCTTAAAATAATAACAATCGCTAGGAAAACCATCTGATAAATCTTGTTCAGGTCAAATAACCACTTAAATTATGCAGATAACCCATGGCAGACCACTTCAGATAATAATTGCTTCAATTGTTTGATTTTATTGTATTTCAAGCTAGACATGATTGCCAATAACACCATATAAGACCATATAAAATGTATACAAGAAAATGACAACTAAGAAAATGCATGAATTTGACTTGGTTTTATATCGTCATGTCACCCCGTGTGCACCACGCCTTGGGAGCGTCATAAAAAAACGTCTGTATGTCTTTCTGTATGCTTTTCCGCCTCCCCCTTCCACCACCCACAAATGACATGAATTATTGATACTTGGAAAGGTTTGCAAACTCAACTCAAAATTGCACGTATGACAGCTTGAAATCACTTAAAGTAAGCACTGCATTGAATATAAATATCATCAATAATCATCATCTGGTAAACTGTCTTCATCTTCACCAGTCTCATCTCTTAAATCCTTATTCTCTCCCCCTGGTCCGAGAACTGTTACATCCTCCTTCTTATCGTCTTCCTTTTGTTTTGTTAGGTCCTCTTTTTGTGCGTCTTTTTTCTCTTCTCCATTATCTCCCTTTTCGTCTACTTTTCTTTTATCTTTTTTCGCTGTGTCTTTAGCTTCCTGATTTTGACCAGTTTCCACAGTATCGTCTTCGTCTTTGATATCTTCATTGGAGATGTCATCTTGGAAATCAGATTCATCTTTGCTGCGTGAATCATCTTTACTTTCGGACTTTAATTTCGCGCCAGGAGTTGTACCTTTGCCTTCTGGTTGGACAGACTTTGCTGCATCATTGCTATTGCTTGATCCCTGCTCAACAAACAAACAAAAAATACACAAACACTATAATAATAGTACTAACCAGAGGTTGAACAGCATTGATTACATGTAGATAATAGAAAACAAATGAATTATGTCTACGTGAGGTATTTCATGGTAAGGAATTGGAGCATAAGAATTCACCGACTTTCACTATGTCTGTTACTCAAATGATGACTAGCACTATTTTCAACAACTACAATTTAGATCTAGTAAAAGCTGTCCGATGTGATGAATGCATAGTTTATTAATATTCACAGCGTTATCAAGAATGACAAGCTTAACTGACCTGTTTTTTATTGATAAAATCTTGTAATCTTTGGTTCAAAAGATCGATCTGCTTCTGGAGATCTTCGTTAGCTTCCTTGGCATCTGCAATACCCTGGTTTACATAAAAAAYATCTTATCAGAAATTAAATATATTTTAATTAATTCAGTTTTTTAAATCACTATAAATTTGTTATTTTTAAAAACACCAAATCGCAAAAACGTTGCAAAATGAAATAGAACATTTGAACTTACAAAAAGGAATTAATTATAAAGAGATCTCTCGGGCCAAAGACTTTCTCTTGTCTTTTGAAATAATTCTTTCTAAAGTATAAATGTTTTCTATGGTAACTATCTTTGTAATGTATATTCATGATCTTTTGCTTGTTCACTCAGTGTAGTAAGTGGGGCAGACAAGATGCAGCAAATAAGACGGCATTTCAGTGCACAGCTATTTGTCTGACTTTCCATTTCTGAGCTCATGTGGTAAAACTCTTGAGAATTCAACCAGTCATATAACTGTASACATTGTACCTTATCMAGCTCAYTGTCATCAAAATTATCATCAGATTTCTCTTTGTGCTGAGGTTCATCTTCCTCATGACTTTCTTGTGGAGTTATTAGTGCTATGAAAACACAAGGAGAATCTTGTTGATGTATTGAGATTTATACAACTTTTCAGTAAAATCAGATGTTTTGATTGGTTGGCTTTCGTGTGTTATCAAAGTATAGATACACTGATTACGTCAAAACTAATTGTTTCTTGTATAAAACAGATAGATCTCATTTTTCCGTGTGTGTGTGCGTGTACTCGACTGCGTGTCGTGCGTACTTTTTTGTTCTCACTACATTTTGACGTCATCTATTAGAGTACACACGCACAGAAAAATGCACAAATACAGTTGAATCTCCCATAAGTGGACAGCCTTGGGAAAGGAACAAAGTGTCCGCAAGTAGAAATGTCTGTCTAATAGAAATGGATCTTAAAGCGGCTAAATAACGTCAAATATTCTTGTTTGATAGTTAAAAATTCCTAATGATTAACAGTAGCGATTAAGATAGTGTGACTCAATGGTTAAGCTTGTTAAAATGACAGCTTATTATTAATCTCAAAAATAGATCAATGGAAAGTTATGGAATTTAAGGTCATTTGGGGATCGCTAAAAGTGTCCGCGTCCGCTTACAAGAGAGTCCGCTTAATAGAAAGTAAAATTGCAGTGTTTTGAAAACTTGTCTGTAAGTAGAACTGTCTGCTTACGGGAGCATCCTTAAGTAGAGATTAGACTTTAACAAATTAAGTTATTATACAATAATTCAATCTCTGTGACATGAGATCCCCTACTATTGAGATATTAGGATTACAAATCACCCACAATTCATGATTGTAATTATTGCCTTCCTACCTATTGGCATCGTATATTTAATGTA